TTCCTCCCTTCCTTCCTTCCTTCCTTCCTTCCTTCTTTCCTTCCTTCTTTCCTTCCTTCCTTCCTTCTTTCCTTCTTTCCTTCTTTTCTTATTTAACAACTATCTAAATACATGTGGCAGACAGAGAGAGTAGAGCTGATGTGAATCTAACATAGGAACACTGACCACATGTGCCCAGTCCTCATTAGAGTTTTTAAAAATTTCCTTTCTGTTGACATTCTGCACCCAGAATGCATTTTCTCTCAGCTGCCACTCCACAGGGAACAATCACAAGACAACAGCTGAATGCCATCCATCATCGTTCCCAGAGAGTCATGAAGGAGAGAAATGAACAGCGTGTGTTATTACTAGAAGGATTTCATTTGGAAAAAGAAATACTAAGAAGTAGTGACCAAATATTAAATTACCTTAAGTGGATTATTATTGCCCAACTTTTAAGTTAGGATGATGGAACAGTTGGATTTTCTCTAGGGAAAATTTTCTATTTCAATATTTGAGTTATGTTTTAAACACATTTTTATAAAATAAATCTATCAATCAAGAAAGCTTGGTTTTGCTTCATCCTTAGACAGGTGAAGCAAATACAATGGAGACTGCTCAAAATATACTGGCCTAGAATTCTTATACCTTGTTAAATTCAATACCAAGGACAGGTAGAAATGGGCATCCTAATTTAAAATATTGAAAATTTCTAATTTAAAATATTTTTAAAATGTTGTTATCTTCTTCCTATTGGTATGTTGGTGCCATTAGAATGCAAGATTTAGCATCATTTAAATATAACAGAAACCTCCTAAGTATTGTAACCCAAATAATTTTCTAGATTAAAACAAATAAACATTCTTTGAATTCCTAAGAGATTTTTAAAATTTGGAAGCTCATAGAACTATATGTGCATTAATTAAATGAATGACTCTTGGATCCAGAAAATATTGGTATAACAAATATAAGTTTTATAACAAATATAAGTAACAAGTTTTATTTCGGTAATAATTTAACAAATTGGCTAGTTTCATTATGCAGTTAACATTCAGTTAAAGGAAAAACTTTGGAGTATGAAGATTTTAGCTATTCCAATATTTTATTCCACATGTTATATATATAAGCATCCCATTACAACTTGAGATGGAAAACAATATTTCATTGTTGAGGGTTGTCCAAACCCTTCAAATTCCAAGTAGTCCCTGCATGCTAAGTTCTAACATACATACATTCTCCATTGCTGTTACTGAAGGCTAAAGGGCCACTAAAAATAATTGTGAAAAAAAATTTTTTTTGAGGGATTTTAGATCAGTGATTCTGGAAGTGTGGCTTAATTAGAATTTTCTGAAGAGTTTATTAAAAATGCATATTCCTTTGGTCCAGACCCATGGAATTATAGTTATTTTAGGTGGTGGGGCCAGGAAATCTGTATTTTAAAAAATTCTCCATCTTTTTACCATTTAAATTGCCCTTTTAGAACTACTTTCGAATTGTAGAAATGACAGATCTAAAAAGAGTACAGTTACTTAAGCTACCAAACAAGGGAAAGGGATAATTTTAGGAAGTCTACAATTATCCTATCTTGCATTTGCTGTTTAAAGAAAATGTACTTTTTCCTTTTGCTTTATTTTAGAACCAAATTGCCCATTCTACAGTTCTGTTCAGGAAAACAGTTATGTCCAGAAAAGAGAAAATATCCTTTACTTTAATCTTACTTCACTTCTGTACCATAAGGTTTCTAGGTCTTGGGATCAGAAACTTCTGTTATTAATATCAGTCTGCCCAGGAACAAATAGTTGTCAGATTTCTGGACTAATCTGACAACTAGCCTCCTCACCTCACCTATGGGAAAGTGTGCTTTAATATAATAAAATAATGGAAAATTTTGAAACTTTATGAGTTTTGGTCTACTCATATTTAGATATTAATGAAAAGAATTATATTTTTACACCTACTACAATAACTACATCTATTTTTTTCAAAGACCTGGAAGAGTTTCATAATAAAATGAATTACTCTAAAAATACTGTTAATACTCTGAACACAATGAGGTTTATAAAAATCCTTGTATGTTATTTATATAATAACAAATTTTATTATTTCATGTGTTTGATATACATAATTTGGAGCACCTAAAGGTATATCATGTTGTATAAATTCAATAAACTCTCTTGGTCTTAAAGCTGTCTTTGGATTTGTTGGATAAATAAGAAGTCTATTTAGAAACATTGAATGTAAATTATCTTGAACAAGATTCATTTTATAACATGCAAGCTTTAAAGTTGATATGGTAGAACTTACAGAATGATTCTTCAACTGAGATTAGAATGACCTCAGCCAAATCTAAAGTAATGTGAGTATTTAAGTTCAGTGCAATGTGTTTAATTTTGAAGGAAAAGAAAATAAACAAATGAACTCTTAAATCATTCTAATCAAGTCTGCTCCAAATGCTATGCTTTTCTCTTTTTTACTTTTTCTATAGGCTGTAGACTATTCGAGATCATAAGATGCTCTTCAAATAAAGATTACTCAATTAATTAGCTTAACAGTCATACCATTTGGTGCTGTAAATCTGTTCTTTCTGATTTATGGGTAAACAAAAAG